AGGTGAACAAAATACATAGGGATTTGCACACATTCTGGAGCAAGAGTGAAAAGATCTCACAACATAAAAACTGACAAATTCACACAATAACTCTTGACAATTGCAGTGCTGGTAAGGATTCAGACATGAAATATAACATGAATTAATATTGTAGTAGTTTTGCCCCACATGAAAACTAAAAATTATGTACTGCTGAGGAAGTGTGCAATGTGAGCGATTTTGCAAGAACAAAACAGAACAAGCAGTTTTGAGATTGTTCTAATGTAGATATTGGATTGTTAATTAAACTAAAGCATGCAGGCTAGCCATTTCCAAAGTAATTGTGGGGATGTCCAAGTCAGACATATTTCCTCTAATTATTCAGATATACACAGATTGTAGAAACATCAGTGGACCTTGAAAGAAAATATGTTACTGCATTGCAGTCCTATTTTACCATGGAATTTATATATCTCAATATATGCATTCTTAATATATATAAATTATTAAATAAGCACATGTATGTGTAACACTAATGTTAATGTGCTGCTGAAATTAATTCTAGATCTAGTCTTGAAAGAGGAATTACCTTCTAATTTAATGCATAATAATTCCATAGAAGTCAGTGCCAAAAGAAATTTTAAAAATCATAGTCTTAGTATAAATTAATAAGAATTAGAAACCTATGGAAAATACTGATAGAGCCACAAGAAATTAAGAAAACTAAGGAATGTGAGTGTTTTTATTTCAAATCAACTTGCAGTGTGAATCCCAAAGAAATGGGATTTAATAGAAATTTCCTCATGTCAGAATATTCAGTAATTGTCAGGATATGAAAATGACACCAGATAATTCAGTACTATCTATGTCAAAATAAGCTGTTAGAAAGATGAGCAGATTAGATGATTGAAACATTGTGACTAACTTTTAAGAGGAGAAAGGTGTCCCAGATGTAATACTCAAAGACAGTTTCACAAGGTCACTCAGTACTGAAGTGCAAAAAAGTGTATTTGAAATTAGAACAGTAAAAAACATTTTTCTGAAAAATGAAGCCAAAATTTTGAAGTTGACCACCTAAATTACACAATACTTGTAGAGGTTGGTATCCTTGTGCCGCCTCACTACCTACACTGCAGAACAGGGAAAATTTTTACTACCCATTCTGCTAAGGTAATCACCAATTATGTTTGTAGTTCACTCTACGATTTGAGTTAGAGTATATTAAAATTGCTAAGGAAGAGACTAATAAAGCTACATTTTTACAATGTCCAACACTTAGGACTGCATGGTGAATAAGAATAAAGAAATACTGATTTCATTAATCAAATGAGGCAGTGAGGTATAATCATATTCATGAATTGAGCATGAATAAAAATTTCACAGGCATTCTCCATCATATCTTAAACTGGGCCTCCTAGGAGATTATGGGGTATCCTTGACCAATATTTTCTATGAACATTTAATGATGACCAACTCTACTCCATCATCCTTAATCATGATACAGACAGATAGTAAATAGTGATATTATTTTGTCTGCTCAGATCCTTAACAATGTTCTATCTAAATAAAGGAAATATTTCACATATGATTTCTAGAAACAGAAGCATAATCTTTTTTTCCTCATGAGCAATATACATAGAGTAGGAGGAGAGACATTCGTTGCATTGCATCTGCAATGTCCCTCAAGACTGAGCAAACATTGTAGAAAAGCACTCAAAAGTAGTATTTATTCAGCTTGGTGGATCTGCTTTCCAGTCTTCTTGGAGACCGAGGTGTCTAAACACTGTTCACTGCACATGGTTCTACCAAGTCTCATGTTCTGGAGAAGTCTAAAAGTTTCACCAAAACATTTTTTTTTAAAGTTATTTACTGTTTCAAAATTAAGGGTTTGTACACATCAGTTCTTGATCCTGAGGCTTACTACTTACTGCTGAAATTATACTGACTGGAAGATGACAGCCTGTATCAAAAGGGGCTACAGTTTTCTGTTTATTAAAATTATTGGCCATATAATACAGTGTGAACTCTTATAGCCGAATTCTTATACTGGAATAAATTTCCTTAATCCTCCTCAATTAAAATACAGGAACTTTCATTCTAACATATCTCTTGTTGTGACAGCAACCCCCTCAAAAACATCATATATGTATCTTTATAAAGTACTTTGTAGGAGGACTATGAAAAATAAGTTGGAAATAGAAACAATGTGTGATCATGTGGAGTGTTAAAGCAACAGGGGGTTATTACTGAATTGGTTTACTTCCAGCAACAATACGAACTTGCAATTTACTCTTAACAATATATGATGTTGTTTAGTGCATTTAAATGGGGATGTACATTATATTCAATATTAAGAAAGTAAAACAGATTAAGATAATGACAAATGTAGTATACTAAAGCAACTGTTTAGTGTATTACATCATTTATAAGCCCATGTGATTCTCAGGCTTTTTCTAGCACCTGAGGAGCAGAGAATCAGGGCATATGTTATACATCCTCCAAGTAAATGAAAAAAAAAAAAACAGCTACCGACTTGGAAAGTATTTGCATGAGGGCTTCAAAATTCACATTCCAGGAGTTAGATTCTTTTCAATTGCACCAAGATTACTGTTAATAAATTTCTCAGACAAAAAGAATATTCAATAAGCTTTAAAGAACAGTATGTTTTTTGATCTCTCACAGCTAAGCATACATCAGTGTTGTTAATTACACTCCAAATTAATATCTCCAATTTTCAGATTCCATTTTACTATTTTGATATAAGTTTGATGATTGATAGTGGGTGGCTTAAGCAGATTTTTATACTGCTCATCTACATTTCCTTAGCTAAGCATCATTTCCTAAACATGTGTTTCTACTCTTCCATGAAAGTATCTGGAGCAGAGAAGAGAGTCTTACTTACAAAAACCATTGAGGATTCAATGAGTCTACTGCATTTTTTTTTTTTAAATGTGGGATATGACATTTCATATATCAGTGTAGTCCTAGTGGCAAAAATAAGAATAATCATAGAGTCATAGAATGACCTGGGTTGAAAGGGACCACAATATCATCTAGTTTCAACTCCCCTGTTATGTGCAGGGTCACCAGCCACCAGACCAGGCTGCCCAGAGCCACATCCAGCCTGGCCTTGAATGCCTCCAGGGCTGGAACATCCATAACCTCCATGGGCAACCTGTTCCAGTGTGTCACCACCCTCTGCGTGAAAAACTTCTTCACAATATGTAACCTAAATCTCCCATCTCAGTTTAAAACCAATCCTCCTTGTCCTATCACTATCCACCCTCATGAATAGCCACTTCATTTTCTGTTTATATGCTCCCTTCAAGTACTGGAAGGCCACAGTGAAGTGTTCCCAGATCCTCCTCCAAGCAACCTCTGTGGGACACTGCTTGTGACCAGCCTCCACCCTGACACAGAACCATTAATCACAACCCTTTGGCTGTGTCCAGCCAACAAATTCCTAATCCATCAAACAGTCCATCCTTCAAATCCATGCCTCTCCACTTTTGAGAGAAGGATGTGGTGAGGGACCAAGTCAAAGGCTTTGCAAAAGTCCAGGTAGATGACATCCATCGCCCTTCATCAGCTGTCACTCCATCATAGAAGGCCACCAGATTGGTCAGGCAAGATCTGCCCTTGGTGAAGCCATGCTGACTGTCTCAAACCATCTCTTTGTCTTGTATGAGCCCTAACATAGCTTCTAGGAGGATTTGCTTCATGATCTTCCCAAGCACAGAGGTGAGGCTAATAAAAATTAACAACATTTTTTGAAATCCATCTCCATTTTTAGTGGGTGCTGAAAGGGGAGGGGAAGGGGGGGTGCAGGAGCTGTGTAAGTGTAACATTTTACTTTTGCCATCTGTGTAGTAACAGTGGGGAAAAGAAGACTGCCATTACAAACTTAAAGTTCACACAATCTTTCACTTTTACTTCCAGTGTATCAAACTTACTAAGTTACATAAATAGTAAGTGCCAGGCTTTTTTTTTTTTTTTAAACGCAAGTGGAACAGACAGTGATTGTCTCAGAGAATTTGCTTCCCACTGTGCTTATTTCCAGTGAAGTTAAAACAGAATTGATGCCAAAATAAAAGCTAGGATAATAGAAGAAAGGAAGTGAAACGAGAATATCAAGCAGAACGTATTTGAAAAGCCTGGAATCCATATAAGGAGAGAAAGACGTGCAAAAGACCAAAATAATCAATATTAAAGTATCATTATGGTACTCTCCTTTATGAAACAAATCTACTTGGATCTTGTTATTTGTTCTAAGGAGAGAGAGCAAGCTGGAAAACTTCTGGGGAGATGAAGCAGCATCTCTCTACTGTAATCTTTGCTCTTTGTGTTACTGTAAAACTTCCCCTGGTTGGTATTATTTTTTCAACATCACTTGGACAATATTCTGTTTCCATAATAACTGCATGGTTTACAGCTTCATATGTATCCATCTACACAAGGCTATCTCACTGTCTTGCAGGTAAGACATTGCAACAAATGTACTGATCATAGCATCAAAATATTGGAGAAACTATACCTTTGAGAGTGGCTGCCCTCATAATTAATCTCAAGAGAACTCCCAGTCATTTGCCCAAGTACCATTTACATAGAGTGGAGAGAATGTGGTGGGAGTGAAACAGAAGGAACTGACCTTGAAGAGAGATGCTGGCAACAAGGCGTATAGTTAAGCTGAACATTTTCTATTAGTTATACACCTAATGTGAGGTATATTTCACTCAATTTCTATGATTTAACCTAGAAAATATAAATAAATGTATAGAAATCATAATGCCCAGGAAAGCCAGGAGAAGAATCCCTCTAAAAATTCTCCTCCTTTTTCTTTATGAATGGTTAATGTGTTAGGAACAGATACCATATAGCAAGCCACAAAGCAATAACATTTTCAGTTCCCTCTTCCAAACTCTTTGTTCTTTGGCAACAGAAATTATTTCTGAACAAAAAATCCACTCTAATCATTATAACATATGTTTCTACGCCAGCATGATATTATGAAAATGACTTACAGTTTCTGTAGGAGATAGAAGCATGCAGCACCTCTGAAAATCCATCTGTTTTTGAACCTTGAAAAGATGAAACAAGTTGTTCACTGCTGAGCTATTGCAAATCAAATATATACCAGCTGATTAATTTGGAATCTATCCTCTTTAAAATACAATAGTGATTCTTCTTGGTATAAAAATGCAATCAATTTCACTTAATTTCCACTATGCAAAGCCAGTATCATGGGTTAAAACTTTCATGGATGGAGTTTGCTTTCAGAATGGAACACTCTTCTTTTTCCATGTACTTATCACAGAGAGGAACAAGAGAGGAAGAAAATGATGAACGCAGTTTTTAGAGGAAAGACAGAGGCTAAGGTGATCTATTTGGTTGGAAAGGAGGCATTGACTATGCAGTCACCTTCAGAATTTAACTCAAATATGAATGTCATGACCAGACTTTTTTTTTTTTTTTAAGTGTTGAGAAAGACACTCCTGGAGGAGAGTCAGATAACCCATGCTAGAATTTAGGAATTAGTCCAATTAATATTTGTTTTCTTCCCCCCCTCCCCCTTCAAAATAATCCAGCCTCCAATGGGGAAATAAAAGCTAAAATAACTACCTATGATGAGATTTCAGTCATTCTTGCTTAATGCTGCATAATTCAAATTATCCATAAAAAAAATGTTCTGCAGTACCTTCTTCATTTCTGGGAACTGTGACAATAAAGGCTGTGGTACTGTCATGCACTGCAAGAACTGCTATGCTATGCAGTGTCAGTCATGTTGCAATCCTTTGTCAGTTTTAACAGCATCTTATTGTATAGCTAGTTCTAGTAATTCAAGTATGATTAGTATGAGAACATTTAAAAATAGTTCATTGAGCTACTGAGAAAATTTTAGTCTAGGTTCTGTTAGCCTAGTCACACAGAAGGATTTCAGTATTAGTTACTCTTAGATTTATATATGTGCTATACTGCCCTAACAGGGACACTCAGCAGAGAAGTGCTCCAGCCAATCACACACATGGTCAGTACATTGTCAAATACCCAGGACTCAGAAATCAAGAAATGGTTCAGTCTCTTCAAACCACCTAAAATGCAACATCTCCCAGTTCAGTCTCTTCAAACCTCCCAAATTGCAACAGCTCATATTGTGTTTCTGTTTAAAATAGCATTGATTTTACTTCCAGAGGAAAAAAAAAAAATGGATGTGTGGAAAAAGTAATCTCACACTCCTTGGGAGAAGATTTGCTCCAGTCCCCGATTCTGATTCTCATTTTCATCACTCTGGTACAAAAACTACAATGTTTCCCTTGAATATGTTTTTCAAAATCTTTTGCAAAAAAAAAAAAAAAAAAGCCAGGGCTACTTCTGATAAACAAACCAGGAAGTTACACTAGTTTAGTGTTTCAACTGATACAATATATCTCTATGTTTTAAATACTGAACTGCTGATACACACACTATATATGCATATGTGAACTGCCAATAATGAAGGCATTTTTAATATGACATCAACATCTCAGACCAAGTCCTATGTGTATTGTAGTCAGAATTCAGCAGTAAAAGCATCGTCATTCATCTTGTAATTTTTTCATGTCTTACAATTTTATTGTTTTGACTGGTGTTACAGAAAAGTTCAATAGCTGATGACCTGGGCACAGATTTTATTATCACTACTTCTAACTATGTTCAATAAGAACATTCACAAAGCGCATAGTTCTGGAGAATTCTTCTGAAATCCTGCATTTCAGAAGTCCATAATTGATACTGGAAAAGTGATAGATTTTTACTAAGTGTAGACTCAATGTTGATGCTAGGATACATTTTTCTTTTGCATTTGTCAATATTAATTTTCACATTTTCATTATTTTGCTGGGAATGAAAATAATTTCCTTAGGTAATTTCCTCTGTAATACTAGGTAACTTTACAACAGAAAAGCTATATGCCATGTAAAAACTGTCACTTTTACCTCAGGGAAATAAAAAGTCATAATCCAGCCGCTGAGAACTGACAATTCTAGAATTTTGAGGGCTTAGAGGTCACTTAGACAACTTTACAGTCTTTCACACTTTTCAGTCATACTTAAGTTGGTAGAGACATAATTCCAGCAGTGCAGAAAACATAGCTTCAGCTACAAACAGTTATAAATAGTCATTCTGAGGGCTGATAGCCTTACTACTGAATAGGGTACAATGCTATTCACAACATAAAGAGGGTAGAAATACAATAAGCTATGCTTCTCTTCAAAAAGGGTTGATTTTGGTCAAATTCTTTACTGTGAACCAGCAAGTGCTTAAGCACATCTCTCTAGCATTGCATATCTGTAAAACTGAGAAGATGGCACATCAAAACTACAGTTTTTAGAATATTGTTTATCTTTAAGGGGACTATCTGATTGCTACTGGGAGATGAAAGGAACAAGTAATCAAAAAAGAAATAAAAAAACACCTATTGATGTTTTAAATTAACTGGCACATGCTGTGTATGCATTTCTATGGGCTTAAGTGTTCTTATTGTAATTGATTCTGCAGTAGGAAATGTTATACAGAGAACACTGCAAGGGTGTTCACAAACTCCCTAAAGCAAGACTGATGTGGATACCTTAGTGACAGTTTTAAACATAAGTATTCTAAAAATCTTAAATTTATAAAATAATTAGGTCTTGTAGGGTTTAGGAATAGGGAGTTTTCAGTATCTAGGAAATGTCTGAGAGGGAATAGAGGGAATGATGGTAACTGGTAAGTTAATGTATTTATCTGGATTCACAATCTTTTTTTGTCTTATTTTTTTATTTTTGTCCTGTTGAAGAGTGGATGTGTAAGAATGCTTGAGTAGGCATTCAAAAGTCAGCCAGTGTCTACCTGTTATGCTGCCAAATTCAGAAATCCATGTGTCTCAATGTTACTATACTTTCATAGAGAAAATAATCTCTTCAAAACAGTAGGTTATCTGTTTCTATATAATCAATTAATATTAATGTTATAATTATGAAATAAACCAGATAGTTTGGCTAACCAGGCTATAATAACAAAAAGAGAATAGACAGAATGCTTACCTGTATCCTGGGCTTACTACAAAACTCCAGAAAAGAGATCTCCAGAAGAAATCCTTTGCCACTGGTTGTCAGCTCTTAAATGGGTCTAGGAGAGGTGGAGCCAGGCTCCACTCCTTCCGGCAGTACAGGTGAATTGTCTTCACCTGTGTTCCCATGGCTGACTCATTGCTCGCCTCAGGTGATCAATCAGAGGTTCAGGCTGTGATTCAGCAGTTCCCATACAGTTTCTAATATCATAAAATCATAGAATTGTTTGAGTTGGAAGAGATCCTTAAAGATCATCTAGTCCAGCTACTTTGCAGTGTACAGAGACATCTACAGCTAGATTAGATTACTCAGAGCTTGGTCTGGACTGAATATGTTCTTTTCCTCACTTATTTATTTCCTTGTAATGTTATTTATTGCATCTTGTTTTTTTGAACTTTTCACACAAACAGTCATTGAGGTTGAAGCTGATCTGACACTGTGTAGACACTGCTCAATAACAGCTGAAGCACTGTTGTGTTACTATCACGGTTTTCCTTGCAAATCCAAAATATACCAGAAAATATAGAAGAAAAAAACTCTATCCCATCCCAAATCAGTACATAAACGTAGACCAATAAAACGTTGTTAGGCAGCAGGACATGCATGTGCAGCATGCATTTTATTCTTCATACACAACATTTTTAATTGTGCAACTTAGCACCTACAAGAGAGAAAGAGAAAGGAGGAAAGGAGCCAGGGTATGGGAAGAGATGCTAGGGTTTTTAGACAACATGAGAAAATGTATGAGACTTTCCAGCAAACAGGCAGGCAATTTTCCACTGGATTTTTTTCTTGTCTGTTGTCTCAGGGAACCCTCATAAAGAAGTAGCACTGTTGTTGGTCTGCTAAGACATCACGAATTAGAGGTAATAAAAAATGCAACTTGTCTGCTCAGTTATTAAAATTAATATTTAAATTTATTGCAATGATTAAGTGATAACGGATTTAAAAAAAAAAAAACATATTTCAGTAGAAGACTGAACTTGCTAAACTGAATCAACAGTAAAGCCAACTTAGTGCACCAGTTGGTATAAATAAAGTGTTATGTTTTTTTGTCTGCAGAACACTAAAGTTAGTTGGTAGAAATATTTATGTTTTCAACACATTTGTAAATACAGAAAATTGTAATCAGTAATGCTAACACTAATCTTGAGCACTGTAATGGTGTGCCATAAAATGTTGTTCATGCAGGGAGTTATTTGAAAAACTAATAACAAAAGGTAGAGATTTTCCATTTCAGCAATATGTTTTCTCTGGCATTTTATATACAAATTTTGAAAAGTTGCATGCTGTCTATCACAAGATATATGAAACTAAATTTTCATCAGCTCTCACAGTTCCTTTACCTGTTTTCTAATTCAGAACAAACCTTTACAATGTCTTCAGCAGGTCAACAGCTGTCCTCAGCACCATACCTTGACAATTATCAGCTCTGAGTTATTGTGAATCTGGAGGGAAGTATTCCCAGGCGTTCATGCAGAAATCATCATTCTGCATGTTTGCCTCTAAATCAGAGAATCATGTATCCGCTGTATGCCATGTACTATGCCAGTGACATCATGATGCCAGGTTTCCACTGATTTGGAAAAGCAACATGAAGCATGTTAATTACAATCATTCTAGTAGACTGAATGTGATACACTGAAAAAGTAACTTATGCCATAGAAGTTGAATGTCAGATAAGCAACCATTGTCTCCTTTATCCATTGGCCCTCCTTTTTTTGGTTTCATAGCAAAAAGAAGTGAGAGGAAAGGGTAAGGAACCATAAATCCAACTCATGATATTACCTCCCTTGCATATCCACTACTTTACTTTCAAGGAGAGTGGACAAGACACGATTGCAGGGAAACCAAGGGTAGTTCATACAGACTGAAAGTGTTGTTATTCCCTGGAAATACTGCATTTGGTCACAGGAACATCAAAATGGCTATATATACTATAGACTATTACATAGTTTCAATGAGTAAAAGATGTCAATTGTTTTTATAATCCTGGTTTTAAAAGGCTATCTTTTACATGGAAAAAAATAAGGCTCTAGTCTCTAGTTTGCATATGGACACAGAAATACAGACTATGTTGATTATTCACTTTATAATTTACTCAGATTAAATAATTCCTGACCTTGCATGACATTTAATTTGATTAGCACTATATATTTAAAAGCATAAAATTCATGATAAAGAAAAAATATTCTTTTTGAATATCACAATGAAAACTAATTCTGTTCTGAGCATGACTTTTGACTCAAAATGACATTTCAGTAATGTCATGTCGTCTATATTATTCTGCTCCCTGTTTTTTCATTTTTCATTATGCAGACTCTATCCAGGATCTGAATAATTGCATATTTCACTGTAGGCAAGGTAATGACATTGTGCATTACTGTTAGTCTTTGACCAAACTGAAGAAAATGTGGTATGAAAATTTGTTTTTAAAAGAAAAAGGAGGAAAAACTTTCCCCTATTGTTAACTAATAGTCATTAAGCTAAAATTTTTTAGGAAAAAGAAAGAAGTTGTTGTCATTTAGAGATAATGTAGGAAAAAAAAAATTGAATGAAACAACAGAAAAATATCTTTGTCAATACCAGCATTAGAAAAGAAAGAAAAAGGTGATTTACCTCAGATAAATTTAACATAACAATCTTGGGTCCTGTTAATAATTCAGTCAAGTAAGTAGTAGAGTACAGCATAGCTTTCTGAGGGTTTATCCAGGACAGTGGACAGAATTTACATTTTAAGTTGATCCCCTGGTGCCATAAATTACTTTTATAATTCCTTGATGCAGTTAATGTTAAATCAGACATATCCATATGAACTTCAGTTATACTTTTAGATTTAACTGTATTCCCATCTAAAGCCTAATTATTTCAGACATTTCTAATCTTTCCCAAAAGACCTTTTATAGCTCTATAAATGTCTGCTTCCAAGTATGTATGGTTTCACTACACGTCTGTTCTTATCCTGAAACTTTACCTTGGCTAATAAGCATGAGAGCTGTTGTAGATCTGCAAAAGTAAGTTCAAAGTCAAACATGTTCTTTCCTTGCTATTGATGTATACTTGGTTTAACTGTAAGACAGTGATTCTTGGTACCACCTTTCAGTTGAAAACAGAAAAAGCTCTTATCCATCATGTTGACCTGGTGAAGAGCCCTCAAGTTGTTGAAGCTAGTGTGTTCAACTAAGCTCTGAAACACAAGTATTTATACGATCAATTCTAGTCCACTCAGAACCAGTAGCAGCATGCACCTCTTTCATCTTCCAAGTCTGACTGTTGTCTTAGATCCCATCCTACAAGAGGTTTAGGCTGAGGTGCTATAGCAAGTGCTAGAACAGAGGCAGAGCTTAATTTGTATATACTTTACAAATCTGGCCTCAAATCCTGGTTCACACAAGAGGTGGTCTCTCAATAAAAGCACACCAACAATGTAATTCATATTACAATTATATGTCAGATATCTAAGTGTTGATTTATGATACAATTAGACTAAAGAGAACTCTGTATTGCAAAATAAAGACAGACAACATGTTTGTCTTCTGTCATTTAATGATACTGCTTTTATACACACTTACCTTTAACTCCTAAGGATTAAAAGCAGCTCACTCAGTCATAAGAGACTTCTTTCCCACGTTTATTCCTCTTTTACAGTGATACATTAAACATATCACAGTTTCCAACCTAGTGTCATTATTGAGGGTAGCAGTACCATCAGCTTCAGGATCTTATTTTATCTTATTTATTCAGGATCTTATTATCGAAACAGAGACACGTAAGATGCCTTAAGAGGATTCACAATACCTTCTCTGACTCAAGAAACAACACTTTCAATATTTCTGTTAAAAGCAATAAAAATAAAGTGATCTTTTTTCTTATCCTCAAACAAAATTCTAACAAAACTTCAGTACAAAACCTAAGTCCCATTCATGAGGGCTCAAATGTGTTGACAGTCTCAATTATGTCTCCAGTTCACTGAATAATTTTTCATGACTCACTGACCTTTTCAAATAACTCAGAATCAAATGTGATCCTCTTTATACGTTAACATCAAAAACATTCACAATTCAGAGCTTTGCATGGCTTACACATGAAACAAAAGGAATGCTGCTGTGTAGTGGTTTGTTTTGCCTGTAAGCATATGATTGCATTCCAGATTCAGAGCAGGGCTCTCAGTTTGCAAGTTCATGTATATCAAAATTGACACAGGATTTGCGTGGACTCTTAGGATATAGGACTACAGAATTTTGCATATCAAGTTCACAGGGTGTCACAGTGTGACTCATCAGGATTATGCAAAGACAACAGTCTTCCTCATCCACTGCAGCAGCTCTTTAGAAGTGATTGAATGATTGAGTAGTGAGAGCTGCTGAAGCCATCTCCTACTTGAACTGAAAGATCTAATATTTGGCAGGGTGAGTTGATTCGTTATATATTTGTGGAGAGCATTGTCTCCTCACATAAGCCAAAGACACTCCACTGTTTTCTTGTCTTCAGGGCTTTTGACAGGAAAGCTCCTATGTTGAACCAGGAAGTCAGAAGGAGCTCAAACAAAAATTCACTTAGTATTTTTCTTCCTGGACTGACAGCTGAACCTAAAAAAAAACATTCTGAACTTTACCTAATCATGAAGCACTTTCTGCAACACAGATCCATTATCTGAAGTTGAAAATAGCTTGCTTTAACCAAAGACAGTTTTCTTTTGTATTGCAGAGCTGACTAAGTTGGATAAGATACACTTGTACTGCAAAAATTAGACAGATTACTTGAACTACATCTGACCTGAGAAATGGTTTTAGAAGGAGCTTTTTTCGAAGAAAAAAGAAAAAAAAAAAAAAAAAAGAAAAAGAAAAAAAAAGAAAGAGAGAAGAATCTCAGCTATTATTTTCAGGCATTGCTTAATCTAAACAAAATATGAGTAAAAAAAGAATTAATTGTTGCTAATAAATAATAACCATTTAACTGGCAACTTCTTTCCCCCATTGCTGAGGGCTTATCAGGGGACACATACTCCATCTATATTATCAAGCA